CTCTCAAACCACCGCGCATGTCAGGGTACTGTGTTCGACGTACGTTGAATCCAAAATCACCTTCAACTCATCCTTATCACTACAACAAGTATACTTCGTTAGCCAATCCTTCAATCTCGACAAAATCAGTTCTGCAAACCAACCATCCAATAAATAACATCAAAATTTGTTTAGAAAGTAACCTGTGAAATTTCTTTGAAGTCTGAGAGTACGTTCGTTTACTTGCACTGGCGCTAAAGCAGGTAACGATAACTTGGGAAGGTCCTTAATAAAGTGGCATGATTACTGTAGTTGCTTGTTGAAATATCAAAATCATACAGTAATTTCGTTGAGCGGCAGAGAGAAGAATGAGAAATTATTCACCTTTAATAAAGGAAACGTATGAAAAGTGGACGTTTGATGATAGTTATCATGAGAGACTGATGATAATGGCAAATGATCGTCACTGCTCCTTGGAAATGATACGTCAACTGAAGGAATGATGTCTGAAATCGATGAGGATGGCTAGCATAAAAGAATAAAACTTCGATTCCAAAACAGTCACGCAATACCATTCTCTTCGTGTACATAAAGTCCTAAAGCAGCACAAAGGTTCACAGACATTTTACTGTTTATCAGATTGTCCAGCGCAATTCGAAATCCGTCAGCGTTCTGGGCTACTGCGGGATTGACAGCAAAAGTATCAAAATGCATTATCATTACTGTTATCATAACGTTTGATATCATTAAGACACGAAAACTAACTTTGCTGTTGCACAGATGAAACACTGTCGTTACTATTACTTGTGTTGAATAATTCATTCTGCGAATAGTCATTCGATGATAACTCAACATTTTGGGTGATAGGTTTATCTGGATGGGATGAAAGTGCTTCACTTGAAGACTTTATTGTCACTGATGATGAGCAGAGCCGCAAGCTTGATTGAGCACCACTCCTGACTGTCGCTGAATGCACATTCTTCGGCGGAATCAGTGGTGCCTTCGAGATGCCTCCTTTCACACCCTTCAATTCTACATTCAGTATTATTATTGCAAATCGTTCCTTTATGATCATCAGCTATAGGTTCTATTCACTGCTACATGTTATCAAAACTGGTTTATGACCATCATTATTGAATTAATTATAAATTAGACAGTAAATCAGATAAACAGTGAAATAATCCAAAATAATCCTTCCAAATCAATCAATCAGCCGCTCGTTTCATATATTATTGAAGTACCTTTCTGTTATTCTCCTTTCCATCATCCTTATTTTCTTTCTTACGAACGAGAAACATTTTCGTTTTTTCGTAAAGTTTGACCTCTCGCTTCTCTGTATAGATCCTCAAAAGGCCACTAGACTAGTATCGGGACAATGTCTCTTCCTCGTAGCGCATATAACCAAATCACTTTACCAACAACTGCAAAAACTCGAGTCTGCACCAACAAAAATTTTTAAAACTGTAAACCAAGTTGGCGGATCATCTCAAAAAATTGACAATGTAGCCATATCGATGATGCTAATAATAATGATGTAGAAAATCAAACGCATTCAGCATACTATAACTTCTAATACATATTTAATGTAATATCATACAAAAATTAGGTGCAATGTTATTATGAAACACAGAACTCAAATAAGATTGAATGAGTCAAGCAATAGGCACTTTCTGCTAGTGATAAAACAATCATCACCACTGTGAGTGGGTGCCTATTCATTAAAATGTCATGAGCGGTCGTCGAACGTCCATTCGCTTCAGCTGAGCTTTATATGACGCTTATCGCATTTATACACTCTATCGTGGCATGTACAATGATAAGCGTCGGGAGAGCGAAAATGATGAAAACGAATAAAATTTATTTGCACAGTGACCTGACTGACAAGTACATTCAGTCATCGATAAGACAGAAAATTGAAAGAGTTTCTAATATTGCTTTTCACATTCAATGAAAAAGTATACAAAACAAACATGTAGACTTAATGAAAAGATGTTTTTGGATTATCGACACACACCGATAACCTTTAAGTACCATGTAAATGAACGTACAAACCTTGCAGTTAACGTGATTACGAACACACAGTTTGATTTAAAGACCATCAATGTAAGCCATAAAATAATAATCACTATATACTTATAGTGAACATTTTATAGTAAAAATTCACGACAATCATAAGCAAGATAAATTATTCGAAAAAAAAACTGACCTGACCTCAGAATCACTTTTTCGGTGTATTACTCCGCAACGGCGAAGGCAGTGATCCAGATCAAATCCTTCCGGATTTTCAGTTCCAAACCTCCTTTCGAAGCTCGTTTTTACATATACATGGCTGCAAAAAAAAGAATGCAAACATTCAATATCGCCACACCAAATTCGTTATGAGACGCAAGGCATTGGAGTGTGAAGGTCGCTCGTTTATAAGACACCATCCACGTTGATACACATGCAATATACACCGTTGAAGTAAGGCTGATTGCGTGCTATTCAAAGCTCAGCAACTCCTTAAATTTGCCCATATACACTACTTAAAGATTCAAAACCTCGATAAATAACATAAAAAGTGTTACAACATAATAGAGTAGTACCACAAAGCACGAAAATCGGGACATATTCTCTGAAATTATGCATTCTTACTAACAAAACTATGTATACTCGCCATCTCGAAAAGCTGTTATAGTTTTGGTTGGAGGTTTACTTAGTTTTCAATTGAATGAAACCAAATGCTGATACACATCTCCCCAAAACGTATTCAAATGAGCACCGCAGCACACATAATCGACAACCGCTCGTCTAGTTTAAATCCAAAACAATTGAAACAGCTCTCGGTTATTTATTGAGAACAACAAGTTTCTTGTGTCTCCTCCTTGTGTTCGTCCCTTTCAAATCTCACTTCCTCCAATTATTCACTTCATTCAAAGGGCATCCCCTCCTCGTTGATTGCTAAGGAGTTGGCAGCATTGTGCCGTACTTACTGCTCCGATGACTGAATAACAGAACATTCTTCAATGCAGATGCACCAAGCCCAATCAAGAAGTTCAACTCGAAATTATGCTCATTGTTTTTAATAAATCTGTTAAATAATGTGCACATCAGTTCATCAATACTCCGCCACGAAGTAACATTCCACATTATACTCCCTTGTGGCTAACAATTCATCTCAAGAATTGCTGATATACCACGATCCTCTCAATTTAGTAAAAAATGAACAATTGCTCAAACTCTCATCCCTTACCACGTAACAACCACATCTAATCAGCACTTGTGCTCAGCAACAGTCGCACTTAATCAGTGATACGCGAAACATTGGCAGCTACAAGTACTCGCCGATTTACGGCAAGCTGCACTTACAAAGAATCCAAAAAAAATCATTTAGAACTGAAATCTTCCTCTGCAGGACTGTTTCGAGGTAACAATAATGAACGCTCGGACGTTTCAATTGAACTAACAGGCAACTTTACCATGATGATATCTGCAATAGTTTTTTTTTTCAGGTCTTCTTAATTGCTCTGTTTCTGTCAGTGGCAGTGAAAAC